CTATATAGATTTATTTAATATACGAATGCCAGAGAGTAACTAAAATTTTGGTTGAACGCACATTTACTAGTTGTTTCTTGTGTTTCGAAAATTAAGCGAAACCCGAATCGCTTAAAACCCCTTATTCCGTTTTGTCTTATTGCCTCCCCGTTGTTTCATTTATTTCAATTTATATGACGCGGATTTGATTAAAGCGCGGCTCCCGTATCGCCCCAAAGTGTGCTTAATTACGTTTTAATCGAGAAATTTTCACGAAAACGCCATATTTAAAACGGCTAATTTATTTCGTTCGAATAATGACGAATGACGGGCCTTTGTTTCGGACGGAAAACATTTTTGCCCCAGGTGCGGCGATATATCTGTTGTCAGCAAATCACCAGGGCAACGCGAGAGAATATTTGAGTTTTCTATAGGCTATTTCAGGAGAGCATAGAGTAATTATATGGGAAATTCATCACAGTTTCGGTGTAGGGCATAGACACAGACGTCCAACTAAAAGAGACCGTTATTAATAAAATTGCTAATGTTGTGATGCAAATATACCCATTTAGGCGTAAAGAGTGTTGCCTAAATATAAACGATTGCATAAAATATAAAACACATAACATACATATAAATCACATGCGATGCCTTTGAGCATTCTGTAGAAATCTGCAACACAAAAAAAAAAATACAATGTTTAATCTATGTTCCGTTTACCGGGGGTACCAGCTTTCTAAATTCAAAATTGAACACTCAACAAATCCTTAATTTTATTTTATTGGCAAATTCTCCCACTACAACAAACAATTTGTGATTGGTCGTAAATTTCTCTTCTACGACTGCGTCGAAATTTGTATAATTTTCCACCCAACCTAGCTTTATCGCTATCACAAAAAACAGCCGGTTTTATTAAATTAACTAGTTTGGTAGACACTAATTATAATTTGTAATAATTTGAATTTATAAATTGTAAATAATTTTCATTTTTCTGAAAATAAATTACATATTACAGTTGTTGTTTCCTTTATTCCTAAGTTGTTTTCTATTTGGAAATTCGCTATATCTTCTTCTGTTGTTGTCATGTGTATGGTTTTCTCCAGGTTTATTTCCAGTCCTACTTTCTTATATTCTTCATCTAGTTTTTGGAGAAGCCGGTTGTTAAGCTGTTTACTATCTTGTTTCCTACTTTTCTCTGCATATATATTGTGCACTAAATAGGATCTCCATTGCTTTTGCGATTGTTATCTACATATCCAGACTTTCCATCGCTTTCCATAGTTTATCCAGGTCATAGAGTTGTTCCAAATCAATGAATGTGTACTGTTGTTCTTTACTATTTTTATGTCTAATAACTTCCTGCCGTCAAACCTGCTTGTTCTTCTCCGATAATTCCTTGTATGTTGTGTTCTAATTTGTTTCTCACTAACCTACTGTCTATACCTACCTACCTACCGTATATGTACTCATACTTGCTATGAGGCTGATCCTTGGTAATTATCATACTGTCTTCTATCTCCTTTTTTGAATATCGTTGTTAGCTGTGCTTTCTTCCGCTCGTCTGGTATATATTCCTTCATTTATTGCTTTGTCACACATTCCCTGTATAATTTTGAATATTTTGAAATTTATCAGCTCTACTCAATGCTTTTTGGCCTTTTACTTCTTCATTGTTATAATTATACTTATATGTTGCTGTAGGTTCATATCTTTCCCCTGTAAACTGTTGCCTTATTCCTTTCAGCAAATACATGTAATAATTATTCGAATTTCCATGTTCGATGTCCAGTATGTATGTTCTGTTCTCTAGGTTTCCTGTTGGATCTCAATTTCTTAATCACTCTCCATGCTTCTGAGCTTCTAGCTCGACGAATGTATTGGTCTGTCTCTATTTTTATTAGATATATTATATTTTATAGATAGATAGATAGATAGATTCATTTATTGACTACGTTTCGTACAAAAGGGACGTACAATTGTAGCAAGTCAGAAGTGATATTCAAGTGCAATAAAGTCAAATTAATAAATAACATAAAAACAAACATCTAATACAAACAAAATTAGACAGTACTATACAGTTTTATAGCGCATCGATAACAGTGACAGTGTCAAGGTATGCTCGAAGGGAGTAAAAACAATGACGTTGCAGGAATTCTTTAATAGTATGTTTAAATTTTCTATTGCTCATCTTTTTCACAGTACCTGGCAAAACATTATACAATTTCAGGTTCAATGAGTTGTTCTCAGACTTCCTCAGTCTAAACCTAGGCCGTCTAAGGAGATCCCTCGAACGAGTTGAATAGGCGTGGCAATCGGAATTAGCGCTAAAGTTTCCTTTCGTTCTCTGTATCTCTAATAACTGGTAGTAGATATAGATGCAAGGAAGGGGCATCACTTTGAATTTTTTAAAATAAGGTTGACAATGGTGCCTATATCCTATATTAGCAACGACTCGAATGCATTCTGCATTCTAAAAATCTCCACAGCAGCTGAGGAATCACCCCACAGTACCGTGCCATAGCATAAGTGTGAATGCAACAAAGAAAAATAGACCATAAGCAGAGTCCTTGTTCCTATCAGGCCTCTCAGTAGTCGAAGAACGAATATGTTGCTAGACAATCTATTTTTCAGGTCTGAGATATGTTGTTTCCAATTTATACTATCATCTATCCTAATGCCAAGCAAGTTGACGGACTGTCCACTATTTACCAAGCAATTGGAGGAAAACACAATACTCTGGTTCTTGTCTAAATTTAATTTAAGATAATTATTTTCGAACCAGACATTAGCCCTGTCCTCCAACATGCCAACCCTAACGGACAACTCCTCGATACTCTTAGCAGATGTAGTGAAGGATGTATCGTCGGCAAACATCACGCACTGATTGGGGGCCAAGAAATGATAAAGGTCATTTATGTAGATTGTAAATAGTAGCGGGCCCAAGACGGAACCCTGGGGCACCCTGCTTACTACTGATTCAAGTGATGAACGGTCATTCTGGTATTCTACAAACTGCTGTCGGCCCTGCAAGTAGGACGCTATAAAATCTAAGGGCAGACCTCGTATACCATATCTGTATAGCTTTATAATAAGAAGCTGGTGAGAAACACAGTCGAAGGCCCTAGAGAGATCACTCAAGGTCAAACCAACTAATTCACCCCCCTTGAGGCCCTCGACTATCCCACTGACAATTTTAGACACTGCTTGGTTCGTCGAACACCCTCCCCTAAATCCAAACTGACCAGCACAAAGACATTCGATCTTATTACTATAAGAAGTTAGCTGATCTTTTAGTAAGATCTCAAAAACTTTTCCGAACAAAGGCACGATTGAAATCAGCCTATAGTTGTTAGCATCATTTATATCACCTGCCTTATTTATTGGAACTACTCTCGAAATCTTAAACAGCGACGAAAATACACCTGGGTCAATACATTTATTAAATAAAGTGGTTAATGGCTGTGTAATGTACTCAACCAGTCCCTTCACCAAGACACTATTGATATCATAAACATCGCTAGAAAAAGATTTTTTTAATCTTAGTATGGCTCGGTACGTATCCTCACAAGTTATCGGATGCAAAAAAAAGTAGTTTCCTCCAGTGGAATCCTTCAACACATGCACTCTGTATATTGTGATTCACCGTTAAGATCTTTATAATATTACTCGAGACAGAACTATATATGAAATCCTCTATTCTGTGGTTGTTGGAAAACTGTTTAACTATATTTAAAACTATTTTGCGTACTCAGTAATTATAATTGTATTTTCATTAAGTAATAATGTGCATAGCTTTAAGCTACTTTAGATTAGTTTCTTTTATAAACACTTCTAGATTTCTTCTTCTAAATTTTTGATATTCAATAATAAGCAAATTAATAAGCTAACCTAAAAGGTACTTAGTCACTTGAAAAGTTTCCGGCTTTATCTTGCGGCACTGCTTGATGGATGATAGTGACTTATCATAGTGAAATTTTGAGCTGCTGAATTTAAACGTGGCCGTAACAGCTTAGGAGATGATGAACGTTCGGTATGTTCAAAAACCGTAACTACCGGCGATAATATTGCTAAAATCCGCGGATTGGGTGCCGCATTTACTCAAGTTAGACCAAGAAAACAACCATTACAGGAGCATACTATGCATCATTACTTTACAAGCTAAGGATAGAAATTGCGGAAAATCGGCCACAATTGTAAAAACACATCCTGTTTCACCAAGCCATACTCATGTCATACCTCAGCCATGCTATGGCGAAAATCCACCTTTCTCACCAGATCTAGCTCCAAATGACTTCTTTTTGTTCCCTCATCCGAAAACTGCGGTCGGGGGACAAAGATTTCCGTCGAATGAGGAGGCAATCTTCGTGAATGATTTTTTTTGCGAAGAAAAACGCTGGGTACAATTTGGACGGGTCACTAGGAGAAGTGTATAGAGTTACAAGGAGATTATGTTGGTCGGGAACTTTTCAAGTGACCCTCGTCTATATGTATTACTTATTTTCGAAAATGTGGTGGGGAAAAGTTGCAGCTCGGTGAAAGAAATTTTTGGTAGATTTAAAAGCGTTCTGGTTTTAGTATTGAAAAGAACGGCCGATTAAAACTAGATGTAATTGCAAAACAGAGTTAATTGATTTTAGAACAAGAGTTCAGAGCATAGAATGTTATTTGCATTGTTATTTTGCGCCTAATATTTGTTGTTGTGCAACTTAACTGAATGGTTAACAAGGTTCTATTCTATAAAATATAGTTAATCCCGACGCATTTAATTTCTGGTGCAGTGGAAATTTCCGTTATCGTTGCGGTACAAAAACGCGAATTTGACTGTGCCAGACTTACACAGTGGCGGCCAAGCAATTTAGAGTTTAGTTTTCTCTTTGATAGAAGTCTTATAAGAAATATGCGCGGCACAATCAATAATTTATTAGCAGCGGTTTGACGAATTCCGGAATTGCATTTAATTTTTAATCGGGTGCTGGGAAGAAAAGGCGAGGTAAAGTTATTTAGATTGCAATTTGTTTCAGGGCAAGTAGATGAAAATGAACGCGACTTCTCCGAAGTCTTCGTTGGTCAAGCTGGGGCTGTACCCGCGTCCGAAAACACTCAAAGTGATGGTTTTAGGACAGGCCGGCGTAGGAAAATCTGGTAAGCCCTTCGAATAATATACCCGATATCGGATATAAATCGGCCAAATTATTATTTTCCGAAATGACCCCGTGGTGTGTAATCGTTATCTTGAATTTTAAAGCTAGGTTTCTACAAACATTTCTAATGTTAATGAAGTAAATACTATTCTAAAGCGAAGAAAAAAATCTTTTTTTGTGTGGGCGTGTTCAGGAATGAGCATTAATAAATCAATTATGTTATTTTATAAAATAAGTAGGTTTCTGGAAAACCATTTTTCCTATTAATTTATTTTTGTTTTGGGTTTCGGTGACCAAACAGGATTTAATATTAACTTTTATTTTTCGTTTTCTTTTTCTTCATCATTTTACCTTTACTTACTAGTTTGTCAGTACTTGGCGTATAGAATTGACAGCAGGAATCCTGCGCTAACTTCAAGAAGACGTAAAAAGGTGCGTGCAAGGCGATCCGAGAGCGAGGAATTTTTCAACAAGTGAAGTGAACATTTGAAAGGGTGAATTGAGTAGTCTTCACGAGTTTAAAAAACTCTTATCTTTCCTGTACGTAGGTCATCCTTAAATTCGGATTACAGTTTGTTGTTTGTTGTCGAAGATTTATTATTATTTTAATTATTTACATTTTTCATAGTTTCTGCATATACAGGGGGTATTCGAATATATTCTTAAATAAATGTTCATAACTTCTCCAATTTGAAATCGTTAAAAGGCTATCAATATGAGTGAGGCGATTGTGGTTACTGACCTTTCCACCAAGTGGGTTTTTCTGACATGATCGCAACATAATTTTCTGTAAATTGATGATTGATTGATTGTTGTTGATGATGAACGATATGAGTTCTTTTTACGTCATTAGATAGTCAAATAGGGTCCCACAATCCAGTGAAAACCACGTGCCCCGATATTTTTATCCTACCCCAAAATATGAATAAAAGCTAAAAAAATTTTCGAAAAAATTTCCAGCATATTGCTGTATTATGAGTTGTTGTCTAACGATCTTTAATTTACTAAATAAGGCAATAATTTGTTATTTATCATTACTATTCATTACTAGTCAAAATTACGAAAATTATGTTCTGTCACCAATTGATGGATACTAACTGATTTTATTAACTGTTGACTTAGTTAGGGTGTAAAATGTGGAAAAACATTTAAAACATAACCCGCTTATCCAGATTACCATGAACACAAATTTTGGTTTTATCTATAATCTAACTATCTATAATCACAACCCGTTTTCCCGAAATCTATTTTTTTTATTTTTTTTATTCATATTTAGGTTAGGGTTGTTGGACCCTTATTTCAGTATCTAATAGATAGTCAGAACATTTATTATTTCTGCAGGACATTAATCTGTTTGCTATTACGTTGTAAAACGCCACCTGGTGGCAAGTTAAGCAACGTTCGCAATTGCGTCACTCATAGCACGATTGTTAGCCTAGGAAAAGTCCGTTTTAGGGGTTCCAGATTTATTCAAATGCACAGAGCCTTTTTAATTTCTTTCAAAAATTATTCGAACCCCAACTTACCAAAACTAACCAAACAAAATTTTTAAAGCAGTACTCCCTTGAATTATAGTTAACATTAGAAATTTTTAATGAAACCAAGTTAACACTTAATTTCCGGCATTTTCTCTTGTCCATTTACTTAGTAATTTCGTTTTGAAACTTTTAGGTTTACCGTACTTCGTTGTTCTTAGTGTATAAATAAATAAATAAGTCATTCCGCCAGCTCGTAGGTGGCCTAGAAAATGTTCCAAAAACAATTGTTACAAGAATAAGTAATGGATAACATTAAAATTCAATGTTCTCTCGAGGTCAGTGCCACTTGTTTCGGTACGCTATGAGTAATTTTAGACCCGAAGAGTGCGAGGGTGAAATCGCATGCTCAGAGTTCCTATTCTGCAAGGCCTTCGGGAGCGTTTGAAGATTAACTCGCCATTCTAGTGAGAAAGTAAAATAAACGCCCGGTTAATTTTGTTATTGAATTTTTCATCGTCGAAGTTTATTTTTATCGAACCGTTGAACCTGTTAAGGTTACCGTAAGATTTGCGTCAAATCAAGTTTAATGTGAAATACTTTGGGTTGAATTAATTTATTTTATTGTCCATTTAATTTAGTAGCGCTTACAAATCATTTATAAGTACTACTAGGATTCTTCACGTTTTCAATCTCGAGCAAATACTAGCTACTCTCTTTTTTAATGATTTTCCAGAGGCAAGGCAAAATATTCCTAAGCTAGAATGCTTAAAAATGATTGGGGAGACTCTAAACGTGATGAAAATCTAAAAGAATGTTTAAGGCACTTTGCTTAGGCCGTCAGGTTATTACTAGTTTTTCGAGCGTTTTTTCTTACAGTTTTTAAAAAAAGTTATAGGGAACAATTCTGTTAATAGTAATGAGTATAGATACATACACAAAAAACAAAAAATGTTGTAAAATTAAAAAAAAAAAACCTAAAGATTTGGACAAAATTAAATATGACTTTGCTTCATTCGGGCTTTTTAATCAATCAATAAGACGCAACACGATTGTATAATGCCTTCTTCGTGTGCATGATAATAAAAGTATTTTGTGCATTTGAAATGAAAAAGAAACCGTTCAAACCATAATGACTCAGATAACAAAATAAGCATCACAAAAAAAGTTATTTTAAATATCTAAAATAACAACTTAAATGTGTTATAGATTTATAACAAAGAGTCGTTTTTTCAGTCAACGCTGTCCTTAGACTAGACAGTCTTATTTTTTTAGTTTCAGGCATATGCAATATAATTGTAACATATATTTTTTTTAAATATTATATTTTTATTCGAATAAAATTTGCCATGACTTTGAATCAATAATATGTTTACGGTTTAATTAAGGATTCACACATTAAAAAAATAAATAAAAATGAACTTTTCAAATCGTTTTAACTTTTAATCAAATGAACAGATTTTTTTCAATGATATCTCATTGCCTTTACTTGTGTTTTGGTAATAAAATGAAAGGAAATTATTAAGGTGGCACTATCTTGCAATGCTTAATTTAAAAAAAAATGAAGTACGCTTAAAACCAACAATAGAACGATTACAAAAACTTGGGGACACTGAAAATGGAAACGGAGATCACTACCTAACAACATAAGTGGACTACACTGAAAAAAAAATAGTTGGTTCAAATAGGTAAAGCTCAATTTGAGCATAAGTAAGCCTGTCTAAGACATAAAATAAAAATGGGAAATTCTCAATGTCTTAGGTTTTTTTGACATAATGAAATGCTTCGTTTGAATGTATCATATTTTTGAAACAAAAATGCAGGTAATTCAAATGATCATAGCTTATTGAATGGAGCATACACCGATTCGTTTTAAAAATATAAAGCTACTCTATTTAACTGAGCAAATTAATTAAAGATTTACTTACAAATATTTATATACTTGCTTTAAATGAAGCATGAAGTTATACCTGTTTCATATTGAGATATTTTTAAAGTAAATTTTTATATAATCATTTAGACCACTCTAACAATTGAAAACTTTTGTTTTGGGAGACAGGAAAATACATGCAAAAATATATATATATATATATATATATATATATATATATATATATATATATATATATATATATATATATATATATATATATATATATATATATATATATATATATATATATATATATATATATATATATATATATGATGACACTATATTCCGGGATATCATCCGTTCGCTCGTTGAACTCCGACTGGAATCCTGCATCCGACTGGAATCCTGCAAATCTTGCATCCGACTGGAATCCTGCAGACGTTTCGCCAAAATCTCACTTGGCATCTTCAATGCTCGCGCTCCGAAAACACTTCGAACACTTCGGAGCGCGAGCATTGAAGATGCCAAGTGAGATTTTGGCGAAACGTCTGCAGGATTCCAGTCGGATGCAAGATTTGCAGGATTCCAGTCGGATGCAGGATTCCAGTCGGAGTTCAACGAGCGAACGGATGATATCCCGGAATATAGTGTCATCACATTTTTCCATCCGTGAATCAATACGTGAGAATATATATATATATATATATATATATATATATATATATATATATATATATATATATATATATATATATATATATATATATATATATATATATATATATATATATATATATATATATATATATATATATATATATATATATGGCTTCTTGGCTTATATTTTTAGGAAAACGTGTTATGTATAGACCAATGATTTTTGATCATTTTTAACAAATAAAGGTAGTTAAGAAATCCTTTTCAAAATGGGCTTTTTCCGGGGTGTTACTAAAGATATTGATAATTATGATAAAAATAAATTTCTACCGTTGATATAGATCAGTCATACATAACATATTTTATTAAGAAGGTAAGCCGACACAGATATTTATATTGTTTCCTTTAATTTTATCTATGCAAAAATAGTATTTCTATTACTATATACAGAAAATTTTTGTGATCCAGAAAATTCAATAAAACCAAAATGAAGTTTAACCCTTTTTTATTAACAAATGTGTTAATTGCTGCTACTTAAAATAAAGAACCAAGTTCTCGGGCTTATAGCCTGCCCAAAAACTTGCCACCAGTCGATGCAAATTTCTCAAAATTTCGATGTGGCCCAGAGCATACGAGGATAAGTTAAATGATCCCATGGATCAAACACGAAAATAAAAACATCGAAACGAGGAGAAACACAAGGCATTGCATACAGAGATCAGACGAAGGAAAGAGAAAGCGGAATACCATGGCAGACAACGCGCTGAGACAGAGGAATATGCAAGACCTATTTCAATTACATAAAAAGATAAAGAGTATATCTGAAGATCGCAATGGTAAACAAATAATGGAGTTACAGCAGCGACTTGAAAGATGGAAAGAGTATGTGCTAGATCTGTTTGTCGATGACAGAGCCTCTCTATCCGCACCTGAGAGCACACTAACAGTACATAATAACAAAAGAATAAGTGCCACAAGCAGTAGAGTAGCTAA